ATAGCTGCCACATGAAAACAATCAGAAATCAAAGAACAGACCAAAATATTTTGCAATTATTCTTATCTACACATAAAGGTAGTATACCTGCCAACTGGTTTTCTCTGATATTAGACTTTTATTACAAACTTTATGCATGGATAACAAAATAGACTATGTGGATTTCATAATATAGTCATCTTTTGTCTTTTCTGAGTGCTTTCGTCTGAAGCTAAATGGTTAAAAATGCTGAAATTAAAATATAAGCTTTCATGTCTGCAAGAATTTTCCTTATTGCTGATCCATGTATCAGTCTGTGTTATGTACATCCTATATTTTGGAGTAGATTTCTTTTAGATGTATGGCACTTGTCAGAAAATCTTAACTTGCTGAATAAAATGCATCATTCTAGTTATGGATTTCCCATGCTGCTATAACTGTAATTTCTATGGGTCTGTGCTAATTATTGCAGTTGATAAATATGGAACATAGCTAACCATACAAAAAGTTTCTTTACATTCTTGAAATGCAAGAGTCATATTCACTGTCCTGTAATAACACCAGCAATAAAGAGGAAGTGAAACAGTAAAGATTTATTGTATTAAACAGATCTCAAGAATCAGTGAGAGTATGGACAGGGTAACTGTTCAGAGTCAAAGTAAAGGTATTAGCTGGGGTTTCATAATTTGATTGCAACCCATTGTTACACTTGTGTGGTCTATTAACTGTAGTGGTTGGTTTTCTTCACAGTTTAGATTTGCAGCTTAAATTCCAACTTAAATCAAAGGGATAGTTTTGTAAAAATACTTCCTGTAGTTTGCTTTGCTTAACTTTATAACCTGTTTTTATAGTTCAGTGTTAAAAAACTTGATTCTTTTCTGCCACTGAAGACCACAAAGTCATTGAGACTCATTGTTATTTTAAAACATGACAAGCTGGCCTTAAGACCTTAGGGATCCTTTCTTCAGAAGTCAAGCTGGTGATGGATAAGGAGCCATCAGAGCTATGTGTATCTTAACTGCAGGAGTTCAATTAAGAAGCCAAGAGTGTCTCAGGTATGCTGGCACAAATGGAAGTACTTGCTTTGATAATGTCTCTGTAGTTGCTCATTGCAGGTAGTTGGCTTCCCCCAACTCATTTCTGATTGCACAAGGAGGTTAGCCCAGAGGAATAACTGAAAGGACTGAGCTCCATCAATGCTCAGTGAGTGCTAGAGAATACCACAATGGGGAAATGCTATCAAAATCCTTGTGCCTGCATGAGGATTTGTCAGGAAATGGTGAGCTGTAAGATCTAGCATCTATTAGCCACAGCCCTGAGAGCTCTGCTGCCTTTCTCCTCCTTAGAGAAACACTGTTCTGCTGCCTATGCTGTGCAAAGAAAGTTTCCTTAGCCAGCGTTGATTTCTGCAAAGTCTGTTTTGCAGTTATTTTGCTACCTCATTCCTCTTGGTTTCCATAATGTTTGGCAGTATGATGGAGAATTTCCAATTGCTCCCACTTTACCCTACATCTATACTTATCAGCTCTTTTTAGATATTGAGATACCAAAACACACAAGTAATAGCCATTCTTGAAGACATGGCCTTTGTCAATGAACTTTTGAATAGTTCTTCTTCAGTCCCTTCACCCTTGAAAGAATATTCACAAGTTCCTGATGGATATGATGTCAAAGATTAAATAAGATGAAAAATAGTGCATTAGAGTCCCATGAGAATTTTTTCTTAACTTGAAAGCTACTCTAAGGCATCAACTAAACACAGCTGTAAGTTTCCAGACTGGATGTCTTTTACTTTGTATTTTCTCTTCATGCATATTAATAGGAAGGTCTTATCTAGTCAGATCAAAGTTCCTATAGGAAAAATACTCACATTTAAAAATTAATTACTGTGTTTAGCTTAAGTAATTAATTGGCATAATCACACATGCTTTTATAAACTAAACATTAATGTGAATATTGTATTTGGTGATAGTTCTTAAGATAGAACAGAAGTATATAATTCCTAAGTTAAATTGAATTTTCATTTTATTATGAAATAGTTTTACAAATAGTGTTTCCTCAAAAAGTTTAATAAAAAGAGCAGGACAAACAAACAACTGACATTCATTTGTAATAAATTAAAAAGGGTTATTTCATAACTAAAAATGCTTTTTTCCTAACCCTTAAAACATGTTTGAAAGCCCTCGGAAATAGACCAAAAATTGTGTTGTGACTGTGTTTCATATCCTAAAATGGAATTAGACTTTTCGGGTGCTTGGAGAACATTTTAATAATTAAAAGTTCATAATTAGATGCTTATTTTCTGATACAGTGGTTGAAAAGAACATGAAACCCCATAACTCATTTGCAGAGAAGTGTTGCATTCAGGACTGATGATAAATGACACGATCCCCTCAGGATGAGAAATTTTGCTTCAGAAGCTATTAAAAACACTGGAACAAATTAACATTCAGCATAAATGGCAAACTATAGTGAAGTCTGCTGAGTTCTGTCCAGTATATTATGATCATCTTTAAGTGTATTATTTTGTAGCAGAGATTTAAACATTTATTACATTCAGAGTAAATTTTCATCAAAGAAAATTTTGCTATTAAAATAACTATTTCTCAGATCTCAAAATCCATAAAATCTTAACACAGAAAGGGTTATTAGACCACTCATTCTAATTCTTCTAAAATCACAGGCTTTCGTGTTCCATTCAACTATTATCCAAGTACTCAACTTTGAGTCCGAGAATGTCTACCATAAAAATATACTTTGGATTTGGCTACTATATCTCTTCCAGAAAGTCATCATTCCTCAGTTTGAAGAAAACAGCAGTTAGAACATTTCCTTTTGAGTGTTTCAGTGTTTATGCACACAATTTCTGATATGTGCTTGCCTAGCATCAGCTTGTGGCCAGTGGCTCTTACCACAGCTCTTCTGTGCTTGCTGAAAGTCCCTTTTACATTCAGGATCTCTCAAGATTTTCACAATTTTTTTTCACAAATTGACAAGAACATAGCTGAGTTTCTTTAGCTTTCATTCAAACACCCTTTTCTCAGCCTACAATTACTTCCATAGTTCTTTTCTACATACTTTGTATTTTTCAATATCTATGTTTCAAATATGTTTAGAGTAGAAATACTTTTAGGCTTCCATTATTGATCTCTCCTGAGCCATAAATAAAAAGCAGAGTTAAGCCAGGATCCTATTCACTACTTCCTTTATGTTATTTTCCCTTTCTTCCTATAGTATCAGTGGGACACTCCTGCTGAGTTGCTGGTTTGTTATGATGCCAAATTCTTTACAGACAGACTTATTGCTTGAAGTGTTTTCGTCATTGATGGCTCCTGTATTTCTTCCTCCAGCATATGCAGATTTGTATTTTTCTGACTGGGAACACTGCTCTAAAAATATTTATTCTTTTTAATCTGTTATATTTTCCATTGGTCCCAAATCTCTGATGGTTAAATTGAGTAGTACAAGACTGAACAGCCCCACTTTCTGATGCCAAGCTAATCACTTTCTTATGCATGTTTGCTAGCCAGTGTTTAAACTGGTTAAAACACGCTTTATTGATATTGTGTAGTGCTATATTTTTAATTAGAATATTGAATGATGCTAAGTCAAAAGGCACACAAAAGTTGAAGTGTATTATACCTACATCGTTACCTTTGGCAATCTAACTTAAAATCTCATCAAAGAGCAGAAGTAGATTTGTTTGACAAGGCTTATTTTGCACAGAACTATGTTGACTAGCATTAATTATATTCCTATCTTTTAATAATTTATTAATTAAATCTCTTTCCAGTTTTCCTATTATTTCTCTTGGGACTGATGGTGGGCGAAGCAGCCTGGGAGTACAGATATCATCTGTTTGTTCTTAGTGGAACGCCAAAAAAGATGTAGCACTGCTGCTAACTGGAAAATCAGTGACACTGTTCATGCCTCCTTTAGGTCCCCTAAATATGTCCTCTTTCTTACTTTTGACATGCTACATATTCTTTTACTAGCAGAAAAAAAATCCCATCAGAAAATGTTGAAGGCCTAGTTATGCCATTGTGCAACATATTAGAAACAAAAGTAAACTTAGTGTGACTGTGGAAAAAGACATTGCACAACTCTACCACAGTTTTACAACATGATGATGTGTACTCAAGTTAGAAAGAGCAGTTGAAGAAGCTTGAATATGCATCTGTAACTCTTAAAGGCTGCTATGTTCTTGTTCCCAGAACAGACTTGTCAGTGAGGTATAAAACAGAAAGGGGTACAGTCAGTTACATGTGCATTGGGATCTTTTTCTGGATTACAAAATCCATCTCAGAGTGTTCATTTCTGTTTCAGCTTTGTGGTACTGGTGGAGTTATACTTACATTTGTGTTGGATGCTTTCGGCTTCGTACTTGGTGTTTCTGGTTCTGAATAGACTTTAAATTCATTGTGATTAGGAAAGCCAGGTAATAGACTACAGAAGTGCCTAGGAGGGGATGGATAATCTACTAACCATTAGATTTTATGATGTCCTTCACTCCTCAATTAATCTGAAATAATGTCTGCTGCTGTTGATATCATTTGAAGTTGGATTATATTTTATTATATTGTATTTATTGGTTGGATTATATTTTTCTTCATGTATTTATTTACTCTTTCATGTACAAAAGAGTAAATACATTGTGGTATTAATTTTAGAGTACATATATGCTTGTAGATATGATTGTAGTAATCTCAAGAAAGATAATTTTTAAATTAGAAGAGAAAAATGTGTAGCATATTTCTGGTCTTTTCTCAGGATCATGGTTATCTTTTCTAATTATATTTTTCTTTATAATTATTCAGAGGGTTTGTTCAGCTGTGTAAGGGGAAAATGGTACACAAATAGGAAATGTGTGTGTAAAACTGAAAAAAAGATTAAGGTTGTTAATTCTATCCAAGTGTTATTAAAACTGAATCTATTGTTTTGAAGTGTTGTTAAGTAAGCATATTGGGAAATACTGATACTAGCAACTTGAAAATTCAGCAATTATTTCTATTCCTCCCCAGGTACAAACACACTTGGAAAATCAGTCTAGATACCACATACAGCAGAGCCAGAGGCACCAAGTGAAGCAGTACTTGACCCTTGATACCAAGCTGTCCAGCCAGACACTTTCCCTCTCCCACTCTCACACAATCCAGCCTGTGGGAGTGACCTCTATTCTCAGAAACGGACACATGCCTCCAGTCAGTGATATTGGCACGCCGGAAAGCCCCGTTACCAAGCTGCTGGCCCTTGGAGGCGAACACGAAAATGCGGTAGGGCAGGGCCGGTGAAAGGAAAGGGGAACTGGGCTTTGTCTACTTCTACAGAAACATCACATGACCCATCTTGTACTAGTAGTGGGCAAGAGATGACTTTCTTTACTTTCATGGGGCCTTTGGTTACAGCACTTGCTTCCTGCATTCTTTTGGATTATGTGGGTTATTCCCTTGAATGCCTGTGAATAGCTTATTGCATGGTCAAGTTTTTAAGCTGCTGCCATCTAAAATGTACTGTAGCATCTTTTAATATATGTGTTATATGTTACTATATGTTTTCTGAATATGGACTTTGCAAAGGAAAACTTTTATTCCAGATGAGAGTTATTTCTGTCTAAAACTATTATTCTAGATAAAAAGTTAAATACTAATTACCTTCAAGATGTAACTGAAAGAATCACTCATTCATTTTTCAGTTAGCTGATATATTTATACATGGGTTATCTTGAATAAATTGACATATATATGCTAACTTTAATGCCACCATTGACTTTAATAGAGGGACAGCTATTATACAATATTACATTCTCAGCCAGTGTGAGATGTAGATCGTTATGTCCTTTAGTACTTCAGTAGATTTCAAAAAAGACTGCTTATTAGGTAAAGGGGGAATTCCTACAGAAATGATACATGGAGATGTGTATTATATCTTGGACTCTAACAGAATAGAAGAATCTTACAAATACATTGTGACTCATCTGAGCATTTGGATGTTATGCAGCTAAGCATGAAGGAGCTGAAAAAATCCACAAAACTTCCTGGAGAGTTCTTCTGGGACCTCTCCATTCCTTCTGCATTGACAACCGATATTTTAAGCCAGGTTTATGGACTACTGGAGCTACTAGTCTGCAAAGATTATTTTAAATGGCCTCTGTGGAGGCCTTTATGGTCACTTCTGTGCTGGCAAGTGCAGTTGCTGGAACTACTGTCAGGTATTTTGGGTATCTGACCAGGAATAACTGGAGCCTACCCTTGTACCACTCTCTGTCCTGGCAAGCAAGATGACTGCTTGCAAATCCCTCTCCAGACCTGTGCCAGGTGAAGACTGAGTGATAGTTGGCACTGGCCAAAATTCTCATGGACATCTTCTTGATGATTTGAATAATCCCATCCCAGAGTCTCAGGGAGATGACTGGTACAGTGTAATTTCCTAATGTGGATATGCCTTGTGGTTGAGAGTAGGCTAGTGTTACATTAGTAAATAATATAGAGCCAACACCCAGGTGATGCAGTAAACAGTAGTCATTCCCATTGTCTAATTGCTGACATTTCTTGGCATCCTTTTGGCCTTGACAATGCTTTCCTAGGTAAGTCTGGGCACAACTCCTGGCAGAGCACTTCTCTGGTTTTAGAGAGGGAGGTAGAACCTCCATTTATATCATGGTTTGAGAGCCCTAAAATCCAATTCTTGAGTCCAGGCCCCTCTCCCACAACTCAGAGCAGTGTGAGATGGGTTTTCCAGACAGAAACACGAGACTCAATATGGGGGAAAGGGAATTATATTACAAACACTGTACAAATAAATATTATAATCATCATATACAGTCTTAACTATCTCTCCTATAATAAATCAGTGGATCCATTACAATAAATCAATCTCTTCTCCCTTCAATAAAAGTCCAGAAGGGAAAAGGAAAGATCCTCTCTACTCTCAGAGCAGCAGTCTCTCTAGGGCAGTAGTCTCCCTTCCTCCATGCAGCAGCTGTAGCTGGATTTCTTTTCATTACACATGAGGGGGGTCTCCAAGCCCCTCACAGCCCTTCGATTCCAGGTGAGGGTCTTTCTCTTCTGTGCGTTGTGTTCACTGGGACAAAGGTCACTTCACCACATCATATCATGAAGTGCAGGAGTCTCTGTGACAGTCCCTATCCTCAGGGGATTCAAGCTCCCTTGCAGAGTTCCCATGCTCTGTCATCAGGCTGCTAGCTTAGCAGTGGCAGCAGGGCGGGGGGTGAAGCCCTCCTCCGCATTCCTTTTGGCCGTCCCAGTCCAGCTTTCCAGGACTCCTGAGCTTCTTCGCTCTTCTCCGTCTCTCTGGTGCTGTATTTTAGGACTCCTCTCAAGTGCGAGTCCAGCACCCCTCCTCTCTAGGAGAGGTCTCCAAGGAGTTTGGGGAGTTTGTTTCAGTTATTACCCAAACTCTCTCTCTCTGTAGAGCTTAGTCCTGCTCTGTCTCCATCAGACATTTCTCTGTGTCTCTCCTCCTTGGCTGCAATGCCAGCTTTGCTGCTTCTTCAGTTTTTATCTCTTGGCTTTCAGCCATAGTCTCCGTTCACTGCTGTTTCTGTTGCTGCTTCTGCTGCTGCTTACAGTGGAGAAACGTCCCCCAGCTCTTAGCTACAGATACTTAGCCCAGTCTAACACTGTTCCAAGTCCCTGTAGCCACCCAGCCAGGGGCTGGGGGGGGCCCAGTCCCCAGTGCAGTTCCGGGCCCCTTCTCCTCGTGGCCTCAGAACATGGCCACCTCTCCAACAACAACTATAACATCGCCTTCTTTTCTGGTCTGCTTGTGATATGTTTATATTTTGCAGGAGCGCTGATTGGGTCAACCTCAAGAGAGACGCCACTCCCCTCGGGGATTACCACTTTTTATAACTCCAGGGGGGAAAATGTTTTTCCCCCACCACAGCTGTGCTGGGCCATGTGGCCTAAAAGTCTGTGTCAAAATGTCTCATGGCTGTGTGATACTTTCTTTTGTTGCAGAGGACCCTCTACACTTCCTTCAGCTCCCAAGAGCTGCACACAATAGAGTTAAAAGCGACATGTTCAGCATGGGATCTTTCCCAAAGTGATTTTTGTGAATGGAACCAGACCACAATTATCATTGAAAACTCGTGCTTTACTTTGTCCAAATCTGTATAAGTCTATGAGTCTGCAAACTATTCACGTTTCATCCCAAGTAATTAATGAGCTATTCCATCTGCTTCGGTAGTTTTTAACTCAGATTAGAGCAAAAATGGGAGCAGAAAATGTCTGGAAAAGTATCCAGTGTAAACACAACACAAACCTCTGCCTGCTAAATCTTGAGATCAGCATGTAACACCAAACCTTGAGAGACTCACACTCTTGCAGAACCACAGGTTCCTTTCAGCCTTCCTGCACTGTTGCAGAAATGCACTGTGGATATGATGCATTTGATCGAGATGACAGGTCACAGTGACAACATAGCAGTGCACTCCTGTCATCTGGTCATGATGTTGAAATAAGGGGTTAAAATAGGAGAATAGACTGATGCTTAAGAGGAAAGATGTGACTTGTTAAACCACAGCTGTTTTCATAAGAAGTAAAAAATGTGAATGTTGTGTAGACCTGTTTGAATTATTTGAATTTTAAGATATAAACTTCTAAAATTCAGTTTCATTGATGTAATAAATACTCAAGATTAATTCCTCTATATTTTCAAAATAACTTTTTTCCATTATTATTTGTAATGATTTGTCTTAAAATATTATTTTATCAGATGGAAGAGGTGATTGAAGACATAATCAATATGGAATCAAATTTTAATGATGAAGGCATAGGTTGTTCTGAAACTCCTTTACTAATGCAAAGAACTGTAAGTATTTTGTTGAATTCGTCTTGCTGTTTATACTAGAAAAAATTTTTGAGTGATTTAAGCACATCACAGTTCAGAAACTAAGGCATAGTATCAGTGGACTATTCTCATTTCTATTCAGTTGTTTGTCCTTTTGTCAATGTTAGAAAAGTTAGAAATGTAGAATGCTAGAAAAAGGGCTTCAGTGTGGTGTGACACAGCTGTTTTAATTGGTTTGAATAGCATTTAGGGTTCTAGCCCAGGAAAGACCTGGTGCATAAGCCATTGGAGTTACTAATTCCTATGCAGGACCATGGATAAAAGGAGTCTCTGAACACTATAAGACCTTTTAGAGTCTTGCTGAAAGATCCTTCTACCTTGACTAAAACAAAAGTCAGATCTTCCCCATGTAACAGTTTCTATGGTACAATGTCTTATGCTGAAGCAAGGATGGGCTCTATTTCTTGATTTTCATACAGACAAGCTGCATTTAGTCAAATAAATTCAAGGAAAAATAAGAGAAATGTAACTTTTCAAATGAAGTACTTTATGGGAATTAATGTAACAAACTTTAATTTTGTAATGTCTTTTTGTAAAGAAATGGCAGAGGACTAACAAAGGCTACTTATGTTTCCATAAATGTTACATCTTTGAAGAGGAAGGATGGACCTTTTCTGGACACAACAAAACCAGAGCATTATTATTTATGAAAGTAATACCTATCAATAACTGTAATGCACTTTATAGAAGGATGTACCCTGTACTCTCAACCCTAATTTAAAATGTACACTGATGTACACAGGGTTTTAAAATGTACACTGATAAAGGGAGACTTGAAACTTCACTCTGGTGAAGGCTGAAGGCTTTGACAATCTACCAAGTTAATTTCAGAATACGGTGTCAGGTGCTTGCTCTTAATCACCCTCTGGAGGAACATCTTTTTCTGACTACAGAACATCACTGGCTACAAATATACCTTAGGAGATAAGATCTCTACTGCTCTGTGTTACCCACCATACAGTCCAGTATTGATGCCAATTAATAGTTCCATGAACACCTTATATTTGCATGCCAGCTAGAGAACTAATACAGCTTGACTGATTTATACATATCTCAGTACAGAACATAGCAAAGAAATACCCCCTGGGAGTGAATTAATATTTTGTCTCAAATTAATGTGAGGCAGGGGAGGATTCTTTCGGGTGTGGTACTGTGGGATGGTGATGAGAGGCATGAATTCTGAGTTTTGGATTGAAGTCATACTCCCTTAATACCTTTTAAAATTGGATGATGTTAATCTATGCTAATTCCAGGCTCATTAGCCTTTATCTTCAGCCATGAAGGACATATCTCTCTAAAATATATTGAATATCCTATTCTTGATGAGCAAGGAAATATGCAATGACTTTTAGGCCTTGCTGATATTGTATTTGCAAAGATTTGGGACTCCTGCAGTGCCTTTGGTCCAAGCAGTGGTATTTGGATTTTTGTTTGTGCTGAGGAAATCATCAGGTAGGCAGGTAAGTCGGGGAATAGCATGCATTTCCCAATCTCTCTGTTCAATAATATGGCAAAATAAAGCCTGCCTTCAACAAGGCAAGTGAACTGTACCAGTGTGGAACAAATGGAGCAGTGCCTCTGCCTCTTCTGTCTTGTTTTTCGGTATTGTGTACTCCAAAAATATACGAAAGAAATATGCATACAGAGGTGATCTCAGGCATTTAGTTCATGGCACATGGTTTTATGGCACCTTTCAGGCAACATTCTAAATTTGCCTGCAAAATTTTGGTCATAAGCTGTGCAATAGAGAATGATAGAGAAGCAGGTGAAAAGTAAGTTTTTTAGATACAGTTTTTCATTATCACATTAAGCATAATGAAGTTTTCTTTGTCTGAGCTAAAAATGTACCAATTACAAGAGTGTTGGACTAGGAGACATGATCAGGAATAAGAGAACATCTAATTTCCCTGAGAAGGCATGCTGGGTTTGAGCTGTACTTAAGCAAAGACTTAAATTAGCTCTTATGTACTTCTGCACAAGCGCCTTGCTGTGGTGGCTGCCATCAATGTAGAGTGAGTGAGACGATAGGTGAGATTGAGTTGCTTGTGCAACTGTCTGATTTGGTGTTTGCTTTCTCTTTACACTTCTCCAGTGTAATGCTTAAGTATTTTTAGAGTTTCATCTTATATTTTCCTTACTTTGGATTGTCTTGATTTTTCAAACTCTGCAGAGTAGTCACCCTGAAGTTCTGAAATAATCTGACTGTCTTTCAGAATGTGTTACAAGACTCGGGTGTTCCAAATTCACAAAACCATTTTCTTTTCTCATTGTTCTCAATAGATAGTGGCTGACTAATCTTTCCATTTTTTACAGTACTACTTGTTGTGTGTTGCAGTGAATTAATGTTGCTTTAGTTAGATGCACCCATGTACCATTTTAATGGCACATTAAATGAGGACATTGAGTTCTGTGAGACCACTCATGTGAATAATTGCTCAAAGGCTCATTGTCTGACCCTGAATTAATGAATTACAGTTATGTATTAGTAGAATCAGAGAAGTGAAAACAAGAACATTCCTCCATCTCTCATTAAAATAATTACAGCTTCTAAAGCTGTAATTCTGGATTATGTGGCTTTTATTGTCTTTGGACCCAAATTTATAATTTCATAAAACTGTCTGGTCTTGGGTGGTGTGGCAGTTTGAGCCACATTAGAAATCCAAAATCCAATTTTCAGGCTTCCCCCACCCCTTCCCACAATTTATCTCAACACTGAAGAGAAAACTTTCAGGCAAGAGGCTTCTACAGGGGAAGGGGGAAGCATATATACATTTTATTTACACAAATAAATACTGTACAAGCTAAAAGCAACTATATATATATTATTATACATTTCTATCAGTCCCTTCAAAGCTTCTCCCTCAATTAGTCCACAAAAAGCCTTTTCAGGCTGATAGGTAACCAGTCTCTCTCTTGTGGGAGTGTTCGGGGCCGCTGAACACTCCCCCACCAACCTTCAGCTGTTTGCTGCAGTTCTTTCTTCTTCATGAAGTCCAAGAAGATAGCTTTGAGTCTGTCCTCTCATACCTCGGTTCGTAGGCTGCTGTAGTGTAGTCAGTTTATCAAGCGTCCTCCAAGTCAGTTTTCGGCTGCCCTCGGTCAAACCTCGGCAGGGCAACTCCTGAGCCTCTCTTTCTGGCCCGTCTCCAATTTCGCCTGGGATTCTTCTCCCTGGCACCGAGCTCCATTCAGCCCGTCCACTTTGGCTCCGCTTCAGTGCTGAGCCTTGCATCCACTCGCTCCTAACAGTGAGAGAGGAAAGCCCCCTAGCCTTGGCCACAGGCAGCTCGGTCCACTTATACACTGTCCCAAGCGTCCCACAGCTGCAGGGGCGGGGAAGAGGGCCTGGCCTCCTCCCTCTTACCTCAGGTGTTGTGAGTCGCGTCACTCCAAATGCTGCCTCTAATTCTGGCTTAGGCAGAATTGGGCAGGGCTCCCCTCCCGCAAAGGGGGGAAGAAGGAGGCCCAGCCACCCCCTACACCTTCTACACCTACACGCAGCAGCAGACACAGACAGAAAATTGCCAACAGTTTCCAGTGGCTCTGTATATATGACTTTTTTCAGCAGAAGCGAACAAGATGAGTGGTGACTGGCTGTCCAGGGAACACTGCCCTGGCACCCAGTCACCTCTGAGCCCCCCGGCTCTCAGGGGGGCCAATCTCAACCCATGACAGGTGACAACTTAAGAATTGTTTAAAATAGGGAATTCTCTGTCTGTGTTTCTGTTTCTCTTCACAGTACACTAATGGCAGAAACCTACTTTTTATAACAAGTTTTTAGAAGTTCAGTTAAAATATAAGACCAGGTCCTCCCTATATGCAAGAGTTCTTGATTCCTCTGAAAGTATAACCCCCATGAAGATGACACCAATTTAAAGCCATTTTTCCTTGTTGTAATAATTACTTTCATGATACTTTTATTAACAGACAGAAGCATATTTATCTATATTATAAGAAATTAATTTTTTTTCTAAATATCAAATTAGGAGGAACATATTTATTCCCAACCTTATATCAATCATTAGAAAAATGAAAGAAAGAATATATGAGTGAATTTTAGAAGTGAACTAATGCCATGTGTGTCAGCTATGGTGACAGACATTTGAAAAGCAAATACTTTTCATTTTTATCAGAATTTCATTTTTATTCAAAATCTTTACTGTCTATTCAATATTTGGTAGTGAATTTAAAGTTTATTAACTTTCAAATGTTCAGAACATAGTAAATTTAGATATTTAGGTTAATGTAAAGTGTATATTACACCATCATCAAAAGTTCAGGGCAGGTATTAAAAAGCTGTGCTCTACATTGCTTTTAGTATCTGAAAAAGAGAAATTTAAGAACCATGCTGTATTAAAGCAGATTTGGAGAGCACTAGTCACAGTGAAGAGAAACAGAAAAGGGCAAAGTTGAAAAATAGGATCTCTGTTTTTCAGGGTGTGATTTAACAGTGTGTGACTTTGTGAACCACTTCTTGGCACTAAATGTTGTTTTGTTTTGACAGTATATGTATGCAGGCCTAGGACTCACCAGAAAACCCAGTAATCTAGCAAGCACAGTGGAGATCTGTATGAAAACAGTTGGCCTTTTACCAGTACTTTCATTCAGAAATAACTGTTACAGCCCAGATAATCACTGTAAAACTGTGATAATGTCCTCTGCTTGACATGCAGTCCACTAAAACTTACATCAACAGTATTAGGAGATTGACTGGCTAGGAATAAGAATGAAAGGAGAGGATATTAATGTTTTGCAAGGGCACAGGCCTCTCTTGCACAGTACTGGGTGGGACCAGCCAGGAAAACAATTTAATTTTGTGAACATTTTCAAGGATTCTAAGTTGTCATTTTTCTGGCAGACAAAAAAACATAAGCTTTCAGTAGTATTCTTGAAGAAGCCTGAGGGGAGAGGCTCTGTAGCAGGTAGATGGCTGGTGATGAGAGCTAAGGAGTAGTTGCAGA